CAAGAGCCAGATCAGATTAAAAACGGAGTCGTGTTGCGATATAAGGACTGGTGCTTCCAATCCTCACTTTTCAGCCTCGACAGATTTTACGCGGGCTTGTGAGTGATGAACTGTTTCTCAACCTAAAGTCTCTTTCCCGCAGACGAAACGGTACTCTACGGATACTTTCATGGCAGATGTTCGGACGAACAAAGTCCTAGTTTAATCATACTTCCCTGTCTCCTATCAGCATAGTTGATGCTCGACTTCACGAGAGCGCCTCACTGCGTCTTACTGGTCTTACGTATTTCACTAACCTGAGGTGGAACAACTACATTGAATCAATAGCTGCATCTACTGCAAGGAAAGTTGGTTCTCTGTGTCGTGCCAGAAGGTTTTTCTCGTCCATCCTATACATATACAAATCTATCATTCGCCCATGCATTGAATACTGTTGCCATATATGGTCCGGACAGATTCGTACAGTATGATTCTTGTGTGAATTGTGAATTTTGCATGTTATTTTTTACCTTCAAAGAGAAACAGGAGATATAATAAAACACATTTTCGGCATTCGATGCTCTTTTATTTCTAGAAAAAGAAAAGAAAAAAGAAGCTGTACAAACAGTAAAAAAGGTATGTGCCGTTTATAGAGATGGTACCATAGCTGGGAGTACTATTCGTAAGTAGTTTGCTCAGAAGTGAAAATTCTGATTTGGAAGACCGAGAACGTTCCGGTAGGCCATCAGTTATTGGTGACGACCAAAAAGAAACGCTGATTAAAAATTATCCAGGTCACATAAACGGGACATCGCAGAGATACTCCACATATCACATACGAGGGCATTTGAAAACACCTGGATGCCTGAATCGCCAAGATGTTTAGATGACTCACGATTTAACAGAAAAAAAGAACTCAATGCCCCGCATCTGTGTCGTTTTACGGCGGTCATTTTACGCACTTCATCTGAGCAGTAAAACGTTTGGGAATCTTATCTTTCAGAATACTTATCTATGCGTTATATTTCAATCACAAAACGAAATCTTATGTTTAAATGCCACTTATTGAAAAAAAACGGTACGAATTGGTGTCCCAGTCCAGAAAAAAAATTTTACATTTTTTTTTTATCTGAGATCACTTTGATTCGTTATATTTTGTCGATAATCTGGCTCAAGGCCTAGATATGATGAACCTCGTGATAATCGTGATAGTATGTGAGACAAGCTTGACAGTATAACTTTAAAGATATATAATCTAAAGTATTATTTATCTTTGGTCATTATAAACGATTGCAGACTCACCAGATTAAAATTTGCACTCCTGAGCTAAATACTTAGGAACAGTACTCTCAGCTACGGTACCATCTCTATGAATGACATTTTTTTTTTTACTGTTTGTACAGCTTTTTTTTGAGGAGGCACACTAGAGTAATGGATTGCGGCTAGGACTGAGTAATCGGAGAGCCGAGTTCAAATCTCAGTCGAGTTTATTACGTTCATTTACGTGCTAATACCCTTGGGAAAAGACTGGAATCTAACTCTTTTCTCTCCAGTTATAGGTAAATAGTAGAAGAGACTGGCTTCTATAGCCTTGGGTGGCAACCGGCCTAGGAGAAGGAAAAACTCTGAATTCAAAACTGTATGTACGTATTGTACAGTTAAGAATAGGAACATTCGCATGAATGATCTTGACTACGGTCGTCTCCCTTTTTATTTTTTTACAGTAAGGTTCACACTTTACAAGGCCCGGGTGCCACTCGAGGTAGAGGGTGACGTTATGAGGTTATTTATTCGAATAGGAAAGTAAACGGTTAATCCTAGCCTTGAACAAGATTGTAGTGATCGGGGAAACATCCTCATAGGAGTCGGTTCCACAGAGCAGTGGTTCGTTGGAAGACGCTGTTCGAGTGGAACTTACTTCTCGCTCATGGAATACGGAGGGAATGTAGGTGGTTTGCAACTATGTAAGTAACAGGGTGAGTTCTTGCCGAGAAGGGTTGACTTGGCGGGGCCAGGGAATGTAGTTCGTCTAAGAACTTTCCGTGGAAGTAGCGATAGAGCAGCGAGAGGCTTGCCACACCCCGCCTGTGGGAGAGAGAGAGAGAGGTTGAAGGGTGGAGAATAATTCGTCGCCCACAAGGGCTCGGAGACGTTTTTGATCAAGGCTGCAGAGTCTGGTCAGGTCAGCTCAGCTGTCGCCCAAATAGAACAACAGTACTCCATTTTGGGCCTGATTTGGATCTTCTATAGCAGAAGGAGTCAGCCATTTTACCTGCATTCTTAGCAATGGATCGTATGTACAAGTTCCACTAGAGGTTGAGTGCGAGTTTGAGGGTCAGTAGTCTTTATTATTTATGTTATCATTGTCTGGCACAAGGTCACAACTCTGCGGGTCTAACTCATTATATGCATGATGGGACGTGAGACTATCTCGTTAGCAACACCTTTATGCTGTAGTAATCTGAGGCAATCTCTCTGTCCCATAATAATTGTTACATTTGAATTAGATATTCCATACATTAAGTGTAACAACTAAAATGGGACAATTATGAATTATCAGGTCATCCCATAAGTTCTGTCCGAATTTTGGATAAAGAAAACAAGTGACCAAATGTTACATTTAATTACAGATTCAATCAACAATGTATTTTCCCTGATTATCTATGACTTCCTTCCATCTATTAACAAGCTTACTAATTCCATTACTGTAAAATTCTTTTGGCTTTGATTCGAAGAACTCACAAATGTCAGTTTTAAACACTTCCCATGTTACAAAAGCTGTTTCTTCCAAATGATTCTGTAAGCTACGAAACAAATGGTAGTCTGAAACAGCAAGATCGGGAGAATAAGGTGGATGAGGAATTTTCTCCCAACCAAGTTCTTCGATCTTTTGTGACGTGATTCTTGCTGTGTGTTGTCGCGCATTGTCCTGATGAAACATCACCTATTTTCGATTCACTAGAGCAGGTCTTTTTTTCCTCAAAGCTTGGTTCAAATGCTCTAATTGCTGACAGTATATTTGAGCATTAATTGTTGCATTAGGTGGTAAGAATTCAAAGTAGATTATTCCTTGGCGATCCCACCAGATTGAAAGAAGAACCTTTTGCCCATGAAGTTCCCTTCTCGGCTGTGGCTGGGGTCCTTCCCCTTTACCAAGCTACTGTCTATGACGCTTAACATTTCGATAAAAGATCCATTTTTCATCGCCAGTCACAAGTCTATCCAAAAAAGGTGAAACAGGTTGGCGAGAATGGAGAGAAGAGCAGATGTCAACTCGGGATTTGAGGTTGTTTTCAGACAATTCATGAGGCACCCATTTTCCAAGTTTAGGAACTTTTACAAGTTGTTGAAGATGACGATGAACAGTTGTATGGCTTGAACTGAGAACCACTGCCAATTCCTCAACTGATAAAGCAGGATTTTCTTCAAGGGCTGCTTCAAAAAGCTTTTCATCAAACTCAACTGGACGTCCGGTTCGACCTTCATCTTCAAGGTTGAAATCTCCACCTCTGAATTTTGCAAACCATCTTCTGCAAGTTCTTTCATTCACACATTCCTCTCCATAAACTGAGTGAATGTTTCTAGCCGCTTCGGCTGCTGAGTTTCCTTTCTTGAACTCATAAAGCATTATGTGCCTCAAATGATTCTTGGGTACTTCCATATTAGCAGGGTTTTAATCCAAGAAAATTTAATTTTATTGTTCTCTGAAATAAAATTTGTTCAATTTAAATGCATCTAAACATAAAAATAATGTTCAGTTCCATTAGACATTATAAAATACTCTTTAAAAAAAAAAAAAGTTAAAATTCGGACAGAACTTATGGGATGACCTGATACTAATCTTTGCTTTATATGGCAGCAGCTTGAAATTGGAAATCGAAGAGTCGTATCTGTCTATATTTCTGAGATGAGGTATTATGTACTTTATCCACTGTGGATAAAGGCGTTAGTTAGATTCAGTAACAGGATTGTGAGTTTAATACCTGGTTAAGGTAGTGTAGAACTTGGAGAGATGAATTAATAGGAGATAACTGACAACTGACATCCATTAAAAAAACATGACACGTGGAATTAGAACAGTCTACCCCAGTGAGCGAAATAAAGAGTTCAGTTCGACATTCCAACCACCTGAAGAAGGGCGGAGCGTACAACGGCCGAAACGTTGTAATAAATATAGCGACAAAGATGACGACAATAATCTGAATAATGTAAATAGTGTCGAAGAGCCGTGTTCGAATTCTAGTCGAGTTCGTTACATTAACTGACGCGCAAATATCCTTGGAAAAGATATAAATCCATGTTCTCTCTCCAGCTATGGGTTAAATAGTAGGACGTGTACCAGGAAAATAATTATTATTCTCAAAAAAAAAAAAAAAATGCAACATATGCACATACCAAAAATATATATATATTCCGTTATTAAATAATCCACGAACATGTTGATAAGCCGTAAAACTCAAACCAAACGAATGAGTCGATCAACTGCATATTCTGGGACAAGGATACAAATATATAGGGTTTCTGGTAAAAATCGATCCTTCTTCAGATTGTTTGGAATAGTTTGTACGATGTGCTTAGTAATTAATCTATCATTACTCCACAGTGAGGAGGCCATCTCGTGAATTTTTATCAAAAGTGAAGCATATAGAAGTCAGTAGAAACAAGCAAACAATGTCTATGTATCTCTCTCTCTCTCTCTCTCTCTATATATATATATATATATATATATATATATATATATATAAGTGTGTGTTTGTGTCTGTGTGTCTGTGTGTGTGTGATTAAAATTTTTGATTTTTTTGTAGAGGTCATTAGAAAGATATGCATCATCCATAAACAGGCAAAAATGTCTATGTATCTCTCTCTCTGTATATATATATATATATATATATATATATATATATATATATATATATATATATATATGTGTGTGTGTGTGTGTGTGTGTGTTTTTGATTAAAATTTTTTGATTTTTGTAGAGGTCATTAGAAAGATAAGCATCATCTATAAACAAGCAAACAATGTCTCTCTCTCTCTCTGTATCTATATATATATATATATATATATATATATATATATATATATATATATATATATGTGTGTGTGTGTGTGTGTGTGATTAAACTTTTTTGATTTTTTTAAGATATGCATCATCTATAAACAAACAAGCTATATATATATATATATATATATATATATATATATATATATATACATACATACATACTACATACATACATACATACATTGTGTGTTTGATTATATTATTTTTAATTTAAAGCCTAAGTATTACGAAATAAAGATGTTTTATTCGTAAATGCATCGGAAAATTTTCTGTGTAGGAGA